GATGTCCTCTTTACCCTCTCCACTAATAAATGGGGGAAATATACACCCAACAGTAGTAGAGCAGGTACACGTGGCTTCCCTTATCTATTTAACTCAATTGTTTATTGAGTAATTGTCATATTGAGTATATGTGAGTTGACCGTGAATCGCTTTGTCCTTTTATGTTTGCCAAAATCGTCCTTTGGAATCCAAACTTCCAGAGAGCACAGACCACATGGGTCTGATTTGCTTTGCATGGTGTCCAGCAAAGGGCCACAGCGCAGTGTCGCGGACTTGGATCCTGGAGACCCACATTTTAGGTCTGGCCGTGTGACCCTTAAAATCCAGGCCTCGTTTTTATCTGCTGTTAAAAAAACAAAACAAAACAAAAACACTGCCAACAGCATTTTCTGCCCTTCCTACCTGCCATTGCTGAGGGAGGGATGAAATGATGTAATGTAGACTACAGGTCTGTGGAAATTGTCACACGAACATGGTTTGTTAAAAATTATAAAATGCATTTTGATATCCAGAGACTATAGCTTCAGGGATGGGGGGTGGGAGGGTACTGTAAGTCAAACGATGGCCCCAGGCCATGTTGCTGCCTGAAACCAAGGTCTGACCGAAGGGACACTGGCCATCCGCATAGCTTCTCTCGTCTCTATCCCCAATATTGCATTCATGAGTCTGGCCTTTTAGGGTGTCCTCTCTTTTTCTTCTAGGACATCCTGGCATTTATTTTACCTTTTTAAAACAGGTAGGGGGAGGGGGAGGTGAGGGGGCACCGAGTGAAAGTGCCCTCGGCTCACATCCCTTTAAGACTGGATGAAAGCATATGCGAGCCCTATGGCAGAAAAGCCAAAAGCCCAGCTTTCCGAGTTCTCTCTAAACACTGTCACTTGGAGATATGAGAAAAAGTGAATAAAAAGGACAGCTTTATCCTTTCTGTAAAGGGAGCAGTTTCTTGGAGGGAGGGCTGAGAGACAGGAATTGGATAGTGACTTTGAACAAAGGAATGGCATTGTAAGATATTAACGGACACAGTCAACTTTCTAGAATAGAATCCTAGGTAGCAGATCTGGAAGACTCTTAAGAGCCGGATAATTCCCATCTTTTTACAAAGCCTAATAGGTGAAAGGATTGAGTAAAGGCTGCTGCACTACAAGTATGAGAATCTAAGGGACCACGACCAGGGCCCTGGCTCCAAGTCTGGGGTGCTAGGACCGGGTTGTATTAAAGAGGGGGCAAGGAGCCACAGCCACTGCCCCTATCGAGTACAGTGGTAAGAACTATCATTGATGGGGGTACATTCCTAGAAGCTTGGGAACTGAGGAAATGCAGTGAACAGGGAGCTTGCATCAGGCCGCCCAAGAACCAGATATGCCTGCTGCTGTTTAAATGAAATCTTTAGGGGCACCTGGGCGGCTCAGTCTGTTAAGCAGCCGAGGTTAAGCGGCCGACTTCAGCTCAGGTCATGATCTCATGGTTTGTGGGTTTGAGACCCGCGTCGGGCTCTGTGCTGACAGCTCGGAGCCTGGAGCCTGCTTTGGATTCTGTGTCTCCCTCTCTCTCTGCTCCTTCTCTGCCCACTCTCTCTCAAAAATGAATAAAAAATTTGTATTTAAGATTATTTTGATTCAAAAAAATTTTAATGACATTTTTGAAGGTTTGCAGAACTGTAAAAGTGTGCAGAACTTTATACTAAGGCTTTTTATTACTTGTTTATTATTTGAGTAGAGCTGACACTGACATACAATGAATGCTACATTACTTTCAGGTGGATGACATAGTGATTCAGCTTCTACCTTATGCTGTGCTCACCACTGATGCCACCGCACAATGCGATTATAATATGATTCTCTATATGATTCTCTATGCTGTGCCTTTACACTCATTCCATCAAAGAAAACCTGTGTCTCCCTCTCCCCTGCTCACCTTTTGCCCAACCCCACTCCGCTCCGGGCACCCGTCAGTGTGTTCTATGCATTTGTAGGTCTGATTCTGCTTTTGGTTTGTCAATTCATTTGTTTTGTGTTTTAGATTCCACTTCCTGATGTAGTTCTCTGACTTAGTTCACTTAGCATAATACCCTCTAGATCCATCCATGTTATTGTAAATGGCAAGATCTCCACTGCTTTTACGGCTAATATTCCTCTGTATGTGTGTGGTTACTAAACCTTTTTTTTTTAATGTTTTATTTATTTCTGAGAGAGAGAGACAGCGTGACAGGGGAGGGTCAGAGAGAGAGGGAGACACAGAATCTGAAACAGGCTCCAGGCTCTGAGCTAGCTGTCAGCACAGAGCCTGATGCGGGGCTTGAACCCACGAACCGTGAGATTGTGACCTGAGCTGATCTGATGATTAACCGGCTGAGCCACCAGGCCTCTACTGGGTTATGTCCACTGCCTTAATGAAGAAATTAGTGAAGGATGATCTAAAGCCAGGAAACCAGGATGACAAGCCTGATCTTCCCGGAAGGCCAGATGTAGGTGCTAAATGTTGTCTGTAATGGCGGTTGAGCTATAGTGCTGGCAGATGAAGAAGGGAGGCACGGAACTCCAATAGGCAAATGCTCTATTCTTGTGACACGTCGAGTACTGGCCAGCAGCCCTCTTCTGTGGGTAGATACGTGAAAGGGAAAAGTTAAGGGAGAGCAGAGGAATTGAGATCTCTTTGCTAGCCCTGTGGCCCAAGGCCTTCCAAAGAACTAGTTACCAAGGCCTCGGATACACAGGGACAAGTCCCGGGGTCCCCTAGAGAAAAAGGGGTGGGGGGAAGAGAACATGAAATAAAGGAGATGCAAACGTAGAATTGAGTATTAACATTATCCTCTATCACGTGCCCAGGCTACCTGTTTTTACTCCACAGGAATAGGTAGTCGTTCTGCAGAGTCAAACCCTCCATTGTTTTCCGGGTTGAGCCTTTAAACATTCCGTGGCCCAAATTTCTTCCATTGGGAATAATACCAGTCTTGCCTGCCTCACAGGGATGTTGGAAGATCTGATGAGATAATGGACATAATCTCTCTGCAGAAACCAGAAAGCAAACCTCAAATGGAAGGTAATAATGTTACTATTCTAACTACTAGGGCCCCTTCAGAGGGTTGGCCTGTGGGTCACAGAAACTTGGAGGACTACCTTACTTCTTTAGCCTTTGCTCTGCACTTCCCCCTTTCCAAGCTGGATTGCCCTGACAGGCAGAGTGGGGAATGGATCGAATGTCCTAGAAGGCAAAACTAGACTTCTCAGATATTCTGGGCTAACCACTCCCCATGGACACCAAGTTCTTCATTAAGTCTAAGTCTTCCCTTCTTTTTTTTTTTAAAAGATTTTTTTTAGATTTTTAAAAAAGTAATCTCTATACCCAGTGTCGGGCTTGAATTTACAACCCCGAGATCGAGAGTTGCATGCCTTACCAACTGAGCTAACCAGGAACCCCTAAGTCTTAGGCATGTGTCCTTCCTCCTGCTCTGCCTCAAGGTTTCCTCTCTACCTGCTGAATTATGATATCATTTTTAGTGTTTATCCACTGAAGGCCCTCACGACGGAGGAACACAAACCCAAACTGCCAAATTACACTCTCTGGAGTGAGGAGGCCAAGTGCAACCAACACAAACCTTCTGTTTTCGGAAGGGGCCAAGGACAGAGCTAGGCCTTGAATCCTTTTGTGTATCAAGTTTCAATCTCTTCCCTCACCCTATGCCAGACTCAGGTCATTGTACTTGCTATAGGACTATTTTTGAGGGGCGGGGGGTGGCTCTTTCGGAGAAAAGTAGCTGCACCATATTGAAAGTGTGTAGAGAAGTAAGTCTCAATGCCAGGATATTTGTTAAGTGCGCTTTTAATAATGGAAGAAGGGTGAGGCATCCCAATGGAGGTAAGGCTTGGGAAACATCAGGAAAGTTTGGTGTATGGTGGGAGAAGGTCATCCTCACCCCCCAAGTCGCTGTCTTGGGCCCTCTCCACCTTAGGCCTTCACTTTGCCTGCTTTACTTCTCTGTACTCCAAGCACTTGCAATTATGGACACCCTCTCTTGGCTCTTGAACTTGGATAAATGCTACCTTGTTAGCTAATAGTACCATTAATTATATTAATGATTAATAGCTAATTAGTCATAGTGCTGTAATACTTTCAATGGAGGCCTCCTTTCTTGCCGCAGTTCTGTGCCTCGAGCGCGCGTGCACGTCCCCTTCCCTATTCCCGGCCACAATGCAAATGTGGCTCTAAAATTGGCCTTGCGGACCACTCCAGCAATCTCTGAATTTCTCTGATTTTTATTAGCTGTCCCATTTATCTAGTGAATGACCACTACTGCTTATATTTTTACCTCCCTGATTTCTGTCCTCTGTCATCCCCACTACGCTCCAGTAACAGAGGCCACAGTCAAGATTATTTATTTTTAAAAATTTATTTCATAAACCCAGGGCTCTTTTTACTTCTAAATCTCGCTGGGGTCCACTTTCCTACTTTGACCCCCTTTCTTCACTTTACCTTTCCCTGAATCCTAACCCGCCCCTCCTGCAGGGAGGCTCACACGCTCAGCCCCAAGCTCCCTCCCACTCTGCGATTTGGCTTCCTTTCAGCAACCACGCCCCCAGACTCAGGGAGAGCGGTGCGCACGCGCAGTCCACGCCTTTACCTGGGCGCTCGGCAGTGGGCGGAGTGGGGGAGGGCGGGGGTGGAGCGGGAGTCGGCGGTTATCTGGGTGGCGGGGCGCTCACATTGTGGCAGCGGGGAGAAAAGGTGCGCCAGGGCCGGCCCCAGGGGCTGCGCATGCGCGCCGCCGCGCCCAGCGGCCGGGATGCGGGGGGGGGGGGCGGGCAGAGGGAGGGGTCGGCTCCCCGTTGGGCGGGGGGGGGGGGGGGGCGGGCGAGAGACGGGGCCGCGGGCGCGCGCGCGCTCTCGCCGCGGCTCGCCCTCCCTCCCTGCCCCCGGCTCCGCACACACAACCACACACGCACACCCCCTCCCCTGCCTCCCTCCCCGCGCGCCGCCCGCCCCGCCGGCCCCGCTCGCCCTCGCGCGCTCGGAAGGGAGTCGCGAGACGTCGGAGCGGCGGCCACGTAGCGCTGCGGCGGCGGCGGCGGCGGCCGAGGCCGGGTCTGCGGAGCGGCCCTGAGGACAGACGTTGGGCGGGGGGGAGGGGCCGGCCCGGCCGGCGGTTGTTACTCGAGCGCCGCGGCTACAGGCCCCCCGCCGCAGGATGGACCGCCGAGGCGGCGGTCGGGGCGGCGGAGGCGGAGGCGGCCGGCCAGGGTGAGTAGGGGCCCCTGCTCCCCCCCTCCCCCCACGCACACGCCACGGTCGCGGCTGCGCCCCTTGCAGCAGCCCTTCCTCTCCGCCGCCCGCCGGGCCGGCCGGGGCGCGGGCGCCGGCTTAACCCTTCGCCGAGGCAGCTGCGTGCGCTAGGCCGGAGCAGCCCCCATCCGGCGGGGAGGCCCCGGGGCGCTGCGCTCCTCCGGCCGCGAGCTCGGGCCCGGGGCGCCCGCTCCCGCTCCTTCGCCCCCCTCGCTCCCGGACCTGGGCCGGGCTCTAGTTTCGCAGGGAGCCCGCTCGCCCCGAGGCCGGAGGGGAGGCTGCGGCTGCCTGGGTTAGCGGGCCGAGGGAGGTCTGCAGCGGTCGTCCTGCGAGCCTTCCGCTGCCCTGCAGCTGGTGGCTTGCACCCACTGCCTCCCTGGCCCCGCTGGCTGCGCCCAACCTTCCAACCCCCGGAGTATTGTGCCGCCGGAGATAAAATGCATCCAGTGTACACCCGCCCAACACTCACCCCAGAGGGTAATGCAGACCTTTCTCCACCCCCACCTCCTCCTCCCCTCCAATCAGGCTCTACTTAAGATTCTTAGATGGGAGACACTAAAGGTACTGACACCCCCGTTACATCTGCACAGAACATGTTCATTGTCGACGGAGGTCTCCTGGAGAAATGATAAATGCCCTGCCTCACCCTCGAAGTCTGTCCTCACGATTTGAGAGCCCATATGCTCTTCTTTGAAGAGGGCCAGTCTTTGATCACATCTAGTACAACCCTCCCCCACAACACAGGCAAGAACACACACACACACAGACACACACACACACACACTTCCTGATTGCTAGAGCAGCCCCTGTCATCGCGGATCCCATTGTCAGGAATGGCTTGTGCCAATCAAAGGAACGTGCTTTTGCCTTTGGGAAAAGGGTTCTTTCCACAATCATGTTCTCAGGATGTTCCTGCGTGAGTCTGGCCCTGATTGTCCCCACGTTCAAGCATCATTATCATCGTGTTCTCCTGATAGACGTCTCCTGTGTACCCTCAGTAATAACTGAGCGATGCTTTTCTTCCCTTCGGTTGACGGGATGCATATGGGGCGTGGGTATTCCGTTTATTTCGTGGTGATGCTTAGCATCAGTCGTCAAGGCACAGTAAATAAATAGGGTAATATTGGGGGAGGAATGTATATTTTTTTCCCAGAGATGGCCAGGCCTGTATTGTTCGACGAATGGCAACTAGCACATGCTTTGTTAACAACATGTGTATGCTTACGGAATGAGGGGCTGCAGCGGCTGGTGCGCGCCTGTGTGTGTGTGTGTGTGTGTGTGTGTGTGTGTGTGTAATGCAGGTGATCTTCCCGCCTGGGGCTGATTTGAGAGTGGTCAGCGGCACTGTGATGGGTTGGGTTGTCCGTTATCAGAACCTGTGCACGTGTATTGAGAGAGACCCCACCTCTAGTATAATTTTGTTTACAGTGTGCACCTCTGAGTTTTAGAGATTCTGGAAAGGTCTGCTTCAGTGGTTCTTAGCCTTTCTGTGGGGTCGCCGAGGCCTTTAGGGCTCACCTCTTCGTGAAAGAGCCCCACATCATTTTGCATGCAGTTACAGTCAGTCCTCTTGCAGCTAGTCCTGGGGCCTCAGGTTAAGATCTAGCTTATGCAAAAGTGAAAGGAACTTGAGTTCTTCTGTGTGTTGCTTTGTTTCCTAAGGATTGGCATGCCAGTACTTTGGTTCTGAGCAGCAGGCAGCAACGTGCATTCAGTGTGTATCCTTGTGTTTTGTTGGTTGAGTGCAGTGGGTTAAGTATTTGTAAGGGATCATTCCCTGTCTTCCTGTAAAAAGGAGATGTGCGAATTTCAGGAAAAGTTAAACCTGGAGTCACAGTCATTTGTCCGAATTTGACCAACTGGTGAAGTGTGCCCCTGGCACTGTATTCTGAGTGTAGCAAATTTCAACAGCAGAGTCAGTGGTCTGTCTCATGGCTCCTATCTGGAATCTTTATGTGTTGATTGAGGCTGATTTGATTTCTTTTTTTTTTTTTTAATTTTTGTTGTTGTTAATGTTTTATTTGTTTCTGAGAGAGAGAGACAGCGTGAGCAGGGGAGGGTCAGAGAGAGAGGGAGACACAGAATCTGAAGCAGGCTCCAGGCTCTGAGCTAGCTGTCAGCACAGAGCCCGACACGGGGCTCGAACCCACGAACTGGGAGATCATGACTTGAGCCGAAGTCGGACGCTTAACCGACCGCCACCCGGGCGCCCCGCGATTTGATTTCTTAAAAGAACACTTTATAGCCCCATAGTGGAGCACCTGCTCCGTGCAGGTTTTTTTTTTCACCTTTATTAAATTTGATTCCATGTCTTCATTCAGGTTGGCATTGCCATCAGAATGATGCCGTCACTGTAAAGTTTTGTTTTAATGGAAGGATCTTAATTGCAGTTAGGGAGTTGCAGTCTCCATGTTTAGAATTGAGAACTGGAGACAAACGTCATACCATCCTATCGACAAGCAGGGGATAAATATCAGCTATTCCTGTTTAAATCACTCTGCACCCAGCTTTTGCCTTTTGATCCTATTTCAACCAGAAGAGATTTATTCCAGCTTGTGATCGTGCTGTCATGGGCAGTGACATTAAAGAAACCCAGTCCCCTGCTTTCTGGGAGCTTACCATTCTGACAATATATTTTTTTCTTACATAAAGAAGCCTTTGAGACCTTTTTTTTTTTTTTTTGCACTTTGGGGGTTCTGCGAGGCTAAGGAATTCATGGTATTAACAGCTTTTTGCAAGGCAAGGGAGCCTTGAACTCTTGTAAAGAACCTGTCCCACACACCTGAAGAATAGCATTTATTCTAATAATTATGCAGTGAGTCCTGTGAAGTTTGAAAGCATGCTGAGATTGCAAAATATTGCACTTTTTATTATCTAATAAACATGCTTGAAGTGGCTTGTATTACAGGCTTGCTTTATGTTTTTTTGCTCCTGTCATGCCTGAAATTTTACTGTCGGAAATTATCCTAAGCCCAAACCATTTCAAAGTTGCAAATATGTTACTTTTCGTTGTCAGTGTGGCTGTAGTGACAGAGCTTTAAAATCTCAGGGGGCCAGTGTGCTTCCTGGATTTAATACTGCCGAACCTCTTCTAACTAGTCACTTACCTAGTTAAACACCCACACACCACAGAGCAGCTGATCACGGAACACGTATGGCTGTGAGGACAGTGCGCTGGCTTCCAGATTCAGAGTTGGAAGGTGGAAAACAATTGCACAGCAGCGAAACACTTGCGGAGCCTAGTGCCAGCAGCTCACTCATTAACACAAACAGCTTGCTTTAGCGTCTTTGACACCCTTCCCTCAGGACGTTTCCGATCAGCAGCTCCTACTCAGTGGAGACAGCACCTGCTTTCTGCAACCGTGGCCTCAAGATCCGATTCTCGTGGCGCCCAGAGCTGTTTCCATTTCTGCTCTGAGTATGGGAAGTAATATCATAGCATGGGTAAGAAAATACTTTTCAAGTCTGTAGAAACAAGAGTTGATGGGCAGCGCTACCAATGTGATTTTGCTTTTGGATTGTCTGGAGCCTATAGAAGCAGTAAACTGTAAAAGTGAACTTTTTTTTTTAATTATTTTTTTTTAAATTACCCTTCACTCCAGGGTTTTAGATACTAAATGTGAATGTACTCTTTGAGTTTCATTTCCCTTGTTCTGCAAAGTCAGTTAAGAGACAGCCAACAACAGCAACAAAAATCCCTGTGAGTTCTCTTATACTTTGAATCATAGCTTTTGGAGCTAGTTCTTCTAAACGAGATGACTGCATTTCCTTGTGGGGAACCCTGGAGTTCAGTGCCCTGGCCTTGGCTGTGATGGTTTTGTCTGCATATCACATATTGGACAGTTAGCACTTGAACTTACTTTGGACAGTTAGCACTTGAACTTACTTTGAAAAGAGGTAAACTTTGTTGCGCTTAGTGAGTTTCGCTGAAGGAGGACAGGGGAGATGGAGCCCGGCCCAACCAGATATGAATCTTTGCTTCACCAGTTACTGGCTTTGTGGCAATGGGAGTATCACCTCCATCTATCTCTCTGGCCTCTGTTGCCTCACCAGTAGAATGGGATTTGTTATGAAGCTTAGAGATAGTATGTGCAGGCTTCTAGCACAGCCCCTGGCACGTGTGCGTACTAAGGGCGCGGTAAATGGTAGCACACAGCCAATGTGGGAAATATACATCATTTTGGTTTACGAGAGGTCTTGGTGGCACCATCGACACACTCTTCATTTGTGCAGATTTGGGATGGAAACATCGCAAATATTTGACTTGGAGCCTACCTATGTCTTACAGATGCAGTGTGCTTATTGGTACTTTGATTTGTTGCTCCCTGGCCGGCTGAACTTGGTGGAGACAGGAAAACATAGCTCCAGATTCTACAGTGCCTCCCGCAGGCTGTGCCTGTTTGCAGGATATTCAGAGCTTCTGTGGTGAAAGGGGTGTTTGGGGACATTAACGTATCTCGGTGCGTTCTGTGACCAGAATTGAATCATGGGCAAAGCCTTGTGTAAATTGTCATGGTTAATGTAAGCCATAAAGTGCTTGGTAGAATCGGTGAAGACATCAGATGCTTATTTTAGTTAATCTGTTTGTTTATATAGCAGTTATGCTTGATTTAAAAAAAAAAAACACTTATGGACGTTTTCTCCTAAAGAATTCCCATTGCTCATCTGAGGTTTTGATCATAAACTGTTATTAGGGCTAGAAGTCTGACTGCCTCAGGCACTTTCGCTTTGGTGGGTGAAGGGAAGAAAAGTCAAGTCACCTTACCTGTCAGATTTTATCAACTCTTTACTTTAGGGCCTATACCTACAGATTGTGTGTGTGTGTGTGTGTGTGTGTGTGTGTGTGTGTGTGTCCCTAGCCTTGTTTTTAGCCCAAAAGGTAGTTTTATGGTAAAAATATGACATGTTTTTCCTCTTTAAAACATGGTTGAAGAGATTGATTACTTTGAAAAGTAGGT